TTTGCCGCCCTGAGTCCTCCCGGAGAAGGGCGGCATACAAATAATAAAATTCTATTCTGTTCTATTCTATTCTATATTGGCTGCTATAACAGAATCAAATCACAATATTCAGAATTGCTTACAGCAATGGCTAAAAGCTATCCTTGCTGGGAATCTGAGGAATTGCAACCCCAACATAATTGGCTGGAAGAAAGTTGAGGAAAGCTGTGGCACAGAGTAGCCTCTAGATTATGAGTGTCCAAATATAGGAAGATATGCAGCATCATGTTACCTTAATTTAATGACAGCGTTCTCATTATCATCATCATTATTATACAACTTATTATACAACTGCCTTTTCCAGCAGCATCACCGAAAAAGTACAATACCTGCGCAAACTTGGGTCCACCTGAGCCTCATCGTTGATGAGCTCAGATTCACTTCGGGCAATTCGCAAAGCCAGCTCGTGATCTCTGCGCTCCTGTTCGAAAATGGCTTGCTGCTGACTTGCTTCTTCACGTTCTCTGGCCAGCTGAGCCTCAACTTCAACCTGCAGAGCCATAAAAAAGATAACTTAATCGAAATATCTATTTTAATACAACAGAACTATCTAGCTAGATCCAATACAGCATGCTAGAAGCAATGCCAGCTAGGATTTTTAGAACTAGTATCTGAGAACATCTTAAGAAATACCAGTTTGTGGTTTGCAATTACAATTGAGCCCACTTATGTGCAAATGGTTACTGTTAGATAAAGGTAAAGGTTCCCCTCGCACATATGTACTAGTCATTCCAGACTCTAGGGGGCGGTGCTAATTTCCATTTGAAGCCGAAGAGCCAGCGCTATCCAAAGACGTCTCCGTGGTCATGTGGCCAGCACGACTAAATGACAAAGGCGCATAGAACGCTGCTACCTTCCCACCAAAGGTGGTCCCTATTTTTCTAATTGCATTTTTACATGCTTTCGAACTGCTAAGTTGGCAGAAGATGGGACAAATAACGGGAGCTCACTCTGTTACACGGCACTAGGGAATTGAACCGCCGAACTGCCGATCTTTCTGATCAACAAGCTCAGTGTCTTAGCCACTGAGCACCACGTCCCTGGCTGGTTCCTGCTATTATAATTCATTACAACCATCAGATGAAGCAAACTAAGGTTCAAACAATCTTAAAAGGTAAAGTCTCCCTCAAGTTAATTTTAACTCCTTCATTAAAAAGAAGACAAAAAAACCTTCTTCATGAAAATAATCTTCCCTTGTCTTCTGTTTTTTTCTCTTCTTTTGTGTTGTAGCCTTGCAACACAAAAGAATTGTTCCCTGCAATTCCTTGGATGTCTCCCCTCTGAATACTACTAAATTTTCCAACCTCAAACAAATTGCCCAGGCACTGAGACCTCTTTAAATAGGAGCCTGTTAGTTTACACAAAACTAATTTAATCTAAAAGATACAAAACTGTTCTGGCCCGTTCCAAAACTACAGCCACACAAAGCTTGCAAAAGAATGTCTTTATCAGTCCCGGCTCAAGCTGGCTGCGAGCCCAAAATAAACATAGATAAAGTATCTGGTAAAAAGTTACACAGCAAACGCTAAAACAAAACTCTTACGGCAAACCAGGTTTTCAGAAAGCAAATCACTTATCCAAGTGCCTCTTTGAATCATAAACACCAACTCGAACAGGAGCGGAACTGAACTCACGAACAAACAAACAACGTTGACTTCTGCAACCAGGGCGTGGTACCATCAGTCCTTTTAGAAGACTCTAACGAGCAACAGCTGTGTGTAATCACCTCCTATGAGTCCTCAATTGTTCCTTCCATGGTCAGCTCTTCTACGTGCATCCTGAAATAACTCACAGGAGGGTTCTTGCTCAGCCTCTCTTGTCTCCTCCCCACTGATCCAAGGCTCAGTCATTACCTGGGGACTAACTAGTCTCTCTGAGCCCTGCTCGGAGTCAGACCCCTGTCCAGAGCCCTCCTCCTCTTCCAAGCATGACTCATAGGGCCCCTCGCTGATAACAGCTCCAAANCCTCCTCTTCCAAGCATGACTCATAGGGCCCCTCGCTGATAACAGCTCCAAAGGCTCCAGCCGAGCCACAACACAAAACTATAAGGAGTCCAGCCTGACTGATACTTAAAATTGCACTACAACCTATAAATTAGACTAGCTGTATCAGAAACAATCTTGATTTCAAATTCAGGAGGGCAGAGGCATGGACAGAGGAGAAATTATTCTGTAGAGGTGGTCCTTGACTTACAATAGTTCCTTCAATGACCAAAGTTAACAACGGCGCTGAAAAAAGAGACTTATGACCATTTTTCACATTTACGACTATTGCCACGTCCCCATGGTCACATGATCAAAATTCAGATGCCTGGCAACTGACTCATATTTATGAGGGTTGCAAGTCATGTGATCCTTTTTTGTGACCTTCTGATCAATAAAGTCACTCAGCTTACTACTTTTCATAATAATTAAAATCACTAAATCGAGTGAGGTAGATAAATAAGCAGAGCTACTGAAAGGTGAGAGTATTAAATCCTTTAATGCTGCAGTTCCTAGAGCCATACTTAGAAAATTGATTTTAATAAAGCAGATTAAAATTTACAATTAATAAAAAGGAATAGAAGCAAACTCTTAATGCAGGAATGAATTAAAACTGCATATTAAAAACCAAAATAATGTCTTTGTTAAAAAAAATTCAAAATACTGGTGAGTTTAATTGTTAAGAATGATTGAGTTATCATTTATCAGAAAACGGACAGTCATTTGTCCGGAATTATATAGAACAGGGAAGTCAAGCACAATTTCACTGAGGGCCGCATTAGGATTGTGTTGGACCCTGGTGGGTGGGGCTGGTGGGTGGGGCCATAATGGGCATGGCCAGCTCAGCATCACTCTTGTCAGGGGCAACAGCTTGGGCGGGGCTGGGGGGAAATCCACTTTTGCTAGTAGTTTGTTTTGCTAGCACTCTGCCAGTGAAAACGGAGTCCCCCCTCCCCGGACCTCACTTTTGGATGTGATGGCCTCCTGCAGCCCTGTGCTAGTGAAGCCCTCCTGAGTGCTGTTTTCGCTGGCAGGGGCATTTCAGGTCAGTCCTTTGATGTTTACAGGGTGGTCTCATGGGCCAGATCTAAGCATTCCGTGGGCCACATCCAGCCCCCAGGCCTTGAGCTTGACACCCCTGGTACAGAGACTCCTATTTGAACATTGGTTTGGGCAATAAGACTTTCAAGTTCCCTTCCAACTCTGTTATTCTGATAACTTCTGATCATGATATTGACAAAAGTGCATGATATACTCCCAGAATATACATCTATATAATGAATTAAGGAAGAAGTACCATGAGATCTGAAGGGAGCTTGGGCAACAGAATCTGTTGGGCTAATTCTCCTGTAGCCAATTCCCCTTCTGATCATCCTACCTGCTTTTACAATTGACAAGGATGGCTAAAACAGCAACTTTCTTTTTGTTATTGTTGATTGGACTGAAAAAATATTGTCCTGGCAGACTAACCAATATTGCTGAAGCCATAAGAGGAATAAATTCCAAGCAGTAGGAAGCTGCCTTTGGGCAAAGGGGCGATCCTAACACAACTCTGATAATCTCACTGGGCACACAGCCACCCATCCTCTACTTTACAATTATTGTATCAACACATGCCTAAAGAATATTACTATGCTGACTGTGACACAGAAGTGCATTCCTACCAGTTCGCACCTATTCGGTAGAACCGGTTCATCAAATCTACCGGACTGGTTAGAAGAGGTTCCACCAGTGGACCCGGAAAGCAGGCCA